GCCCCAGGGCAGGGAGGTTGGACGTGATGACCTTTAAAGGTCCCTTCCAACCCAAACTATTCTATGATTCTATTATTCAATTATCTACTAGGTTTGAGCTTATCCCAGGATCTAAACATTCATTTATCATCTTTCTTATAAACAAGGGGCTGTTTATATAATTCAAAAGCATTACAAGGAAAAACTGTATATGAAGTCAGACTATTTGTCCTTGTTTTTTGCATGTTGGAGAAGTGCCTGTATTTCATGCACTATATAAAGAACTTTAAGAGTTGTTAGATATAATTAAATGTGTAAATTTATAGGAATACTTCTGAGCTTCTATAGGAATACTTCTAATCTTTCTTCATGAAGTCTTCTGAATTGGAACAAACCATGAAAAATTTTAGGATAATATGGCCGTACATTTGTTATCTGTGTTATGAAAATAAATAACAATGTGGTTTTTCCTGATTTTGTTCCATCCAGAGGACTTTGTCCTAGATCAAGGACATAGACTACAAACAATATGTAAAATGTGTGTGTGTGTATATGCATATATATAAATATACATATAAGTGTATATAATATGAATAAAAAGATATATTTAAATAAAAAATTAAATATTGTTAAGTACTAATTGTGTGTTCCACAGAAGAAACATTTTCGTCACCCTATAGTTTTAAAACATAATTTTTTTTAATTTTCTGGCTTATTTTTAAGGTGGACCTTTTTAATTTTTAAAATCATATGCACTGTATGAATTTTAGCTTCCACATTCATATTTTAAGTTAGTTTTGTGCACTCTGTACATAAAGTAGTACCCTTTTTTTGGGTTAGTTACATTGTAGAGCTACATCTTGGATTCAAAATATGTAGAATCAATGATGTTGGGATTGTAAAAATGGCAGAGCTCCAATAGGTCTGAGTGGCAGATTTCTTTTAAAAAAACACAAAACAAAACACAGTTGACAGTTCCAAATTTTACTTGTCTACTGCTGCAAAACTCACTATGTTCCTTTGAAAATAAGCCTGACAGAATTAAATGCAAAATGGAGACTGATTTAATGTGAGGCTGGCTAACGCGTTAAGTGAATTTTGAAAAAGCCCTATTATGTACACTTTGTTTTTGCTAAAGTAGTTTTAACTCAAAATTACACTTTTTGAGTTCAAAAGGGTACTTGCTTATTCCCCAATAGCGCACCTTATATAGATAATATGAATATTTTGCATATTTTCCTACTAATATCTTGATTCTCAGACCTGATACATTGTATGTAGTTCATCAAGATACTCTGTATTTAATTCAAGCATCTTCCATGGCATGTTTATGCTCAGTTTGTTAAGGCTGCCCAGGGAAGTGGTAGAGTCACCATCCCTGGAAGTATTTAAAAGACGTGTAGATGTGGCGCTTAGGGACATGGTTTAGTGGGCATGGTGGTGTTGGGTTAACGGTTGGACTTGATGATCTTAGAGGTCTTTTCCAACCTTAATGATTCTATGATTCTATGATTCTTTAATTGCTCTAATTCATTAGATCACAAGATTTGAGTCTTTGTCTTTGTTCTTCCTGATCACTTTTACCTTTCCTTGGTTTCCTTAGAAGCTGAAGGAGAATGTGAGTGTTTGTTTTAAAATTCTAGTCAACATCAAAAGCCTTGCGTGTATGAAAATGACATTCTGTATATGATTATGTTCTTAAGCCAGCAAAGTTCCTAATTAGTATAAAATTGATCTATCAGAGAAAAGTCCTTTTCTTGGTACTCTTGATTTCTTTTTAATTTAAAAAAAGCCAAAAAATTATAAGTTACATTTCCAAAATACTATTTTGTACCTGTAGGTTGTATTTTCATTAGAACACACTGTCATGTAATTACGATGTTTCCATGATCATAGTTGAACAGCAAAGTAACTTTTTCTTTTTTAAAGCTGGGATTTCAAGGAAGTAAAATATATGTTTTCTAATCAAATTCGTGTATACCTTAATATTTTCAAATATTGTTTACATTCTCAGAAACAGATAGAAAATATCTTGTTTAATATTTTGAGAGTGCCATCATTGTAAATATTTTAATATTTTATTTTAGCCAGAAAGTGAAATTTCCACCACAGTAGAAGATTACAGTTCTGAGGTAAGACTGAAGTAACACTTTTCTTAACTTTTCTTTCAACTTTTTCTTTTACATGTTTACTGCAATGCTGTGTATTGTTTTTCAAAAAAAGAAGGAAAGAAAGAGCAGACGTGATATTATAGACAAAGCTGTTGCATGTCATTACTGGTATGATTAATGTACCATTAAAGCAATCATTATGTCAGCTACATAATGGGGTGGCTACTATAATCAATAATGCAGGAGATGTATGAACTGTTGTTACAATGTCATCATTACGGTCATATTAATGCTTCGTGTTGCCGTTGGAGCTATGGCTGTGCATAATTTCTACTAATTTTCTGTGGGAAATTATTTAACAAGTTGATTATGTTTTAATGAGTTCCAAAGCAGCCGTTGCTCAGCTACTGGCTAGGCATCAGTCTGTTGGTGGGAGGTGGTGAGTGATTGCCTTTGCATCACTTGTTGTTTGGAGGGTTTGTTTTGTTTTCTTTCAATTACTAAGCTGTCTTTATCTCAACCCATGAATTTTTCTTGCTTTTGCCCTTCCGATTCTCTTTGTCCCGCTGGTGGAGGAGTGAGTGAGTGACTGTGTAGGGGGCTCAGCTGCTGGCCGGGGTCAGCCCACCACACGTGGGCATCTACTACTCATCTCTGTCATGTTGAAGGGTAGTAGCATATATGGAACTTCGGTCTTGCTAAATAAAACAGTTTGTTATGTTTGTAAGAAGTAAACTACCTCATGCATAAATGTGGTCAAGAACATGCTTGCAAGAAATAGCCATAGAATATCTGAGTACAGTAAATATTGTTTCTATTTTAAAAAATTAATTTTTCATGTCTCAAACAATCGCTTTCTGTAGTGACAATCTGGGTTTTGTTTTGCAGTTCTCTGTGCTAAACGCTGCTGCAAAACACACCCCAGAATCTTAAGCTTGGCAACAAGTAAGAGGGGATGAAGTAATCAAATGAGTCTCCATTGCTGAAGTAAATTTGGTGTAGAATACTTTGGTCCTCTCTTGATTTAGCCTTTTGTAAGAGAAGGTGACTACACCTTAGAATAACTGTTTGTTCCATACTAGTATTGTAGCTGCTTATTGTGAAGCCTAAAGGAATATACACACTAGACAATGTGTCCCTGACCTGTCGCACTGCATGGTGCAAAAGTAAAATCATTACCACATTGGGCAGTATAGACATGCCCTGAAAACTGGAACAACTTTTCTTTCCCAACTTTAATGCTTTGTCTTCACTTGCTCCTTTTCCCAGCCTATTCTCTTGACCAACTCTATGTCTGTTTTCTATCCCCTAGTTTTTTGTAAATTCTTCCCTTCTCTGTAATAGCTCCTTTCAATCTTTTCACCTTCCCTTGCCCATCCTCTTTTTCCCCTTGCTTGGTTTCTTAGCTCAGTCTTACAGGTTTTTCAGCCTGTTTCTACTCTTCCTTTTCCTTTCTCAGTCATTCCGAAGCCCAGTTTCTTTCCCAGCCTTTCCAACTTCATCCAAGCATTGTTTTTCCTTCTTTGTTCTTTTAATATTTTTTTCTCCTCCTCCCCTGAAAACTTCTTCTCCTTTATTCCCTCTTCTTATGTTGGGGTCCTCCTAATGTTCAGCTCAGCTTGTCCTAGATGAAAGCAGTAGTTTTTCTTTCCAACTCTCTCATCAAATCCCAGTTACAGTTTCCTCCATAGATTTGGTCTCAGCCTTTTTAGTTGAATTCCTTTCCTGTCCCCCTCTTCCCCAGTTTGACTCTTTCTCTCCCACTTTTTCCTCCTGTCCTTGTTTATAAGCACCCTCACTTTATTCTGGTGTGTTGGGAGAAGGCACTTGGGAGTACAGGGAAAACATTCCTTCACATTCACTATTGGCTACTTTCAAATACAGAATACTGAACCATATGGACCCTTGGTCTGGTCAATTGTAATCATTCTTATGGCATGTTTTTTGTGATGATGATGACTGGCACTTTTGGAATCGAAGATTCCGGTCCAGCTGCTAGGGAGTACTGTAAATGAAAGAAAGAAAAAAGATTTTTATGGAGGGATAGGTGCAAGGGGTTGAAGCAAACTCTACCTGGGAAAAAATCAGTGTAAAGATTTATTTTTGTTTATTTTTGTCCTGGTTTCAGCTGGGATACAGTTAAAGGAATTAAAGTAGCAAAGAACAAAAAGAATCTGAGTTTGCTTTTTGTATGGTAAGATGATAGGGCAGTATGTGCACACAGTTTGCCATTGAGAGTGTAGCAAATACACTTTCAAACAACTGCTATGACCTTTCTGCACCTTTTTAGAATATGCATCACCATGGTACGTGATTACTATTAAATGGAATATGCAGTATGTAAAGAATGAACCCTTGAAAACAGTTGACAATGGCATTGATGTTCATGTGTTTTAACAAGTGAGAGGTTTTACATATATAGTGAAATACGACTAAGAAATTTTGATCACTTCTGAGGTTGTAGGAAGCAGTGTTGGAGACTTGATTGCAAAAGATCAAGAAGACACGTCTTTGCGTAAGGAGACAGAATACAGAAAAGATCTGGCATAATGCCTCATGATAACTGTGGATATTTTCTGATTTTTGGTGTTTTGTTGTTAGTATCAGTTGAATTCAAAGGTCTCATTTTAAAATTAATTTTCACATCTAAACAACTAACTTTACCCTGCTTCATTCTTCAAAGATTTCTGTAGGTGCCTACAGAGTATATTAGGGAGCAATTTTTCAGATACTAAAGACAACAGAATTACAGCCAGACTGCCTTCTGAATGTGCCTGCTAAAAAACTGCAGATTTCCTCAAAATTGCAGATTTCCTCAAAAATGCAATGACAGCTGCATTTCTAGGCACTTCTTATTCTCATTCCTGCAAAAAGACTTTTCACCTCCGTGAGAGTTATTTTCTAAGACATAAGTAGGCAACACAAAACTTGTGAATAGTAACATGATACTGGATCTGGTGAAGAACAAACTCAAGTGGTGAGAGTTGCTATCTTAATAAGCTCTTTTTAATTCCAGTTCATTACAATTGGTTGGTATCTGCAATGAGGAAACAACATGTTTAGGAATGCGTATTTTAGGAACTGGATTTTCAATGTTTCATGTCAGCTGTAATGATACTTTTATTATTAAAAGCTCTGCTTACATTCATGGCCACCATGTAAATAAAGCAGTCTGAAGCCTTTTCAGTTGAAGAAAATGAGAATAAGTTAAGTTTTGTCTATAACAGTGTAATTATGAAGTTGTATGAAATCTTGAGCTTACCTTTTTTTCAGATACATGTCGTCCTTTTTGGAATGCAAAGCCGCCACACATTTGTAGAAAGATAGGCCTGTTGATCCATCTTTTCCCTCATTGTTTAGAACATCTATATTCTTTTTAGTGTTTTTTGTCAGAAATTATGCTGAAATTGAGGCTCTCATGCTTCAAAGTGAATAGGTCATAAATAATTTGGTTTGTTGTAGTTAGTAACCAAGTCAGATGTTTTTAATTCTTCAGCCCGTTCTCTTGAGAGATTGGAGAAAATTCAGTGATAAGTATTTTGTCTTTAGGAGACTTATCAGACACACAATTATAAGCCAATACAGTTGTCTAAGTAAAGTTGAAGGAACCAGTGAATGTTTATATAAGAATTCTTGTCTTGAAGGAATTTTGTCGTAAATACAGTCTCTTGTTCAGTTTTGTTCTGCCACCTCTCTAAATACCTACACTATGAAAGGTAGTAGCCAAACTGAAGACAACTGAAGATAAATCCTTCATATGACCAGCTTGCCTTTTGTAAAAAAATTACTGAGTTTGAGCAAGAATGAGACCTACCTGCGTAGTCTTAAATTAAATTATAATGGTGATTAGCTATTTAAGGTTGTGGTCTAAACTCAGAGCTAAGGGAAGTTGGGCTTTTTCCAACAGTTAGAATTTTTTTTGTTTTTTATAACTGCGTAAGGTAAAGTTGCTCCCATATATTTTCCATATGCCTCAATTTTACGGTATAAGTGAAAGCCTGTTCCACCTGATGTTTTTTTTCTCTTAGTGACTCTCTTCCCCATTTGCAAAGTGTACCTCTGAAAAGGTGGTTAAAATGAAGTCTACAAAGTTCATTTTTCTTGGAAATGTTAATGAAATTCTATACCTCAACTTTAATCACTACGTAAAGAAATCTTCTGTTGCATGCTATTAATATATAGAAAAATATATTAAGCCATGGTATTTTAAAAAGCATCAATTGTTATCCTTCAGAATTTATTAACTTTAGTTATATTATATGATTATAGTTATTTTCATCACAAACTGAAAATGGTTTTCGTTTTGGAGTATAAAAAAAAACAAAACTGAAATTCATTTCCCCAAGTTGCCCTAATTGCTAATTTTAGCTAAGTTTCATATAGTCAGTTGTGACATAACTAGAAAATTGAGGAGAAGCTAAGAACATTGACAAGCAGTGTTGGAGGTCTAAATATTAATTTTTGTGAAAGAATCAAATATCCAAAATGTAAAAGAAAAGGGGGGAAAAAAATGAAAACATGAGGTAAAATTGTTAATCCACTCCAGATACTTCTGAATGTTTCTACTACCAAATCAAAGCACTTTTTTAATCAGAAGTCTGCTTGCCAGTCTGCAATAGGTTGTATTATTTTCATGCATTAAGGTATTTTCTACATTTTTCAGTGATTGAACAGTATGTATTGATTTATGCTGAGCATGAATTTGCTATTTGTAAAGGGAAATCTCTATAGTACTGGCATTAATGTTATAAGTAGTTACACGTTATATATTATTACTGCTATTTCTGAGGTACAATTTCAGGTCTTCTAAGGTCTAAGGAACATTAAAAGGGGTACAATGATTTCATAAATTTAATCCTGACCTCTGGTGGTAATTGTCATGAATTGCTGCCTTAATTCAGTGGTGGAAGTTGGTTTTCATTGTGTTTCTCTGAAAGAAGATTCCTTTCATTTGTCTTAAGCATATGTATTTACTGATGCAATATGAATTATACCTTTATTTTTAGCCAAAAGACTAAAAATTATATTTTACTTTATATTAGTAAATACTATTTCTGTGAATTATTTTGAAAATACAAGCAAGGAAGAAAAATCAGACAGAACGTCCTTTGAGGGACTTCCATAACCTTCACTTTTTTCATGTCTTTTGTTCACCAAAACAGTTGCTTCTGGGTAGATAATGTGTTGTAAAACTTAATTTTTTCTTCCTTTGTGGTTATTCGTTTATGCAATTATATCCAGAGCTCTTGTTACGCCCTGTTTCCATTATCTTAAAATGCTATGCGATTTGATTGTTTCCTGGGGTATGTAACTAAACACATCATAAGGCATTAAGGCACAAGGACATTTCAGTGTTAAAGGTGAACTGCAAAGCTTTAAAAGAAGAAATTATGAGTCTACATCAATAGTATTTATGGGCTTGCAGAAGATCTCTATACAGGTAAACCACTGAGGCCATGAGGCAAAACACAGAAGTCCAATGGGCCTTGTGTAGACATCTATTAACACTAAAGTTGTATCTGGACTACAGTATTCATATATTGCAGATGAGTGAAAAATGAATTTTAAATTAAGATATTTTGAAGCTAATAACTCAGCCCCAACTGTCTGTCTGCTCTAACACAGCAGAATTTCTGTCATGCCAGAAGTTGCCAGGCTGCTCGCCAGGCTCCCATCAGCACAGCACCCTGCTGCAGTGGTCTGGCTGCTTGTTCCATAGATTACAGTGCAGTTTGTTGTCTTGTCATGTTTCAACTTGCACTTTACCAGAAAGCATAAGGCATTTGAAAGGAGGAGGTACCAGATGAGAAATAGCATGGACTACCGCGTTGTTGTGGTTCACTTCTGTGATGTCTAAGAGCTAGGCTCCTGTGAAGTGATGCGGAATTTCCGAAGTTCCAGACAGTTGCTTTGAATGCGTATAGCAAAATCCCTTTTATAAGTAAAAGGTCTTTTGTAGAAATTTCAGCTCCTAAGGAGTCTGGAACACCTAACGAGATAAGTCTTTTCTGTCTTTCTTAGCAGCTCTTGTTATGAAGCATCTAAGAGTCTTTGATTGTTGCACACAGAAATGATTCACAGGAAGAGAAGCGTGTCCACAGTGGTAGATTACAAGAATCATACACTACATCTTTATCAATTAAGCCTAAATAAAGTGGGAGTTAAAAAAAGGAAAAGAAGTATTTCATGATAGAGTTTCTATTAAACTACTAGGGTTATTAATCTGGGGCATACGCCAAAATCTGAATAAAGGCATTGGTGCCAGGTGCTGTGTAGACACTTGTATGTCTGAATGTAGAGTGGACATCTGGCAATACACAAACGATGTGCAGTGCCTCTATGAGTTGCCTGGACTGATGTTTGCTGCAATTTTCTTTATTCTTTCTAAAATAAGGTAGTAATCTCTTTGTGGTGTCTTCCTTTTTACTGAGGAAGTCAGGAATTGAAAGGGCACTTTGTCAGATCTGCAAATTCTTGTCTAATGCAGGTATATTCATTCTCTTAATACAAACTTGATGTCTATATTGATCCCATTTATAACAATGTACTTCCATGTCAGGTAATTTATTGATTTCCTCAGCCATGACAGCCCTTTGTAAATAAGCCCTAATCTAGACTGTGGCAGATATTTGAACAGTATAGCTTCTTTTTTTGATGTAAACATGGTATTTGGGTCTGAAATGCTATGATGCCTTTCCATCTCTAGTACCATTATTTTTGTTTCAGGCGCTGATGTAATAAACAGCTCTGAGGGGAAATACAGCTGTTCTTGTTTTCTCATTTTAAAACATTGCTCTGCTGTTTTAAAAGCCTGCTTGTCTGTTATGGTTACTCACAAGTACACAGCATATTCTTTTGGATTTTTTTTTTTTTTAACCTATAACTGCTACTCTGGCTTGTTCTTGCCTTTTGGAGATTTGTCATTATTGGTTTGCATAGTCTAAATAACCAAAATTCTCAGACAAGCTGAAAGAGGTTGCAGTGTTAGGTGAGTGAAAGAGGATTTTTTTCAAATGTCTTATGTTAAATGTATAATTTCTGCTCTTTTTCAATCTTAAGAAATTCCTTCAAATTGAGGATGAGAGTCTGTGATACTGCCTTTCATCCGCTATTGAGAGATTGGTGACTTTCAGAAATACTAAATCTTGGGGTGTATCTTTCAGAAAACTTAACTATGTTTAGTAATATATAGAAATATTAAACATATAATTTAAAATGCCATAGTACTACATTTTAATAATTTAAAGTATAAAGCTTCGCATTAACCTTTAAATCTGAATTCCTTTGTTTTCTCTAAATGTTTAAATTCATAATATGGTTTTTGTTTTTAGACAGTAGTATCTATTTTTGCAGTTTTGGGTGTTTTACCTCTTACCTGTGCTTACTTTGATGCAATTTACTATGTATAAAGCTATTCTGTGTTTCAAATTAAATAAATTTTTGTAGCGTAAAAATTCCCATGGGTCTGCAGGAATCGTCACATAAGATTCCAATGAATGGAAGATAGAAATCAAGCTTTATTTCAAATAATAACGTATTTAGAAATTGTCTTTATACAGGTAAATGGTTGCAGTTTTGTGACAAGAACAGCTATACCTGCAGACTTAATGAGGGTACAGTATTGCAAATTGAATCGTAATACTAATGGTGAATACTAAAAAGCTCGAACAATTTGTTTTGAACAAAAAGTATGTTGCTGACTAATACTTTTTTTGCATGCTGTGCTCTGCATCTGCACTGTTTGTTATATATTAATATAGTGTATCGTTAAACTTGAAATGCAGAACAATTTACTATGTCTATTAAGGCTAAGATTATAAAGCAGAATTTGCAGAAACGCTTTATGTCAGTGCTTTTGAGGTGTGAATTATACTAACAAAGGAGGTTACCATGGCAATAAGATCTTCGATGCTGTATTGTATGTTAATGTATTAAGGTGGCATTTGATATTTGAGTTTACTTACTGTGATAAAGCATTAAAAAATGGCATGTTAAGGAACTTGGATTGATTTAGGAAGAAGAATTTGGAGTTGGAGAGATTTGTTCTGAGCATGGAATGCAGCACTCTCACATGCAGCTAGAGGTGATGGAGAATGAATTGGCTGGGAAACAGCAAGAGATTGAAGAGCTAAACAGAGAGCTAGAAGAAATGAGGGCAGCATATGGTACAGAAGGATTGCAACAGGTATAATTACCTTATGTTGCTTTCTACTTCCTACTCGGTTACATGCAAAAATGCAGAGCATCACCTGAAAGAGTTCACACTTAATGGCAGCTGTTCAGAATGCAGTCAGTGTGTGGTATAGAATTACACATAATTTCTTTCAATCACACACCATGTGCTCTATTTCTTTGAATGGTGTTCCCATTGTGTGTCCTTTTTCTCTGTATTTTGTGACTAAACTTCCGGTCTTCTTCACAGTGACTTCAAATCAGGAATGGAAAGACGATTTTCTTCGAGAAAAGCCCTAATTCTTTTCTAGTTGTGCAAAGACTGCATTTCTTTAATGCCTTCCTGTTCCCCCAAGACCAAAAAAACTCAGGTTTTACTTCCTAAGGAATGATATAACTGAGTTGATTCTTGAACCACAAAGGTATTTGTATGTCAGACTTCACAGTCTGAAATACAAGGCAACTGTGACAGAATGTTTTAATAAACATCTAATAACTTGGGATTACAGGGAAATATTTCTTACTTCAGAAATACCATTGGAATTTAAAGTTAGGTTTTAAAGTAAAGAAAAATAAATACTTATTCTTCCAGTTTAAGCAAGCAGTGCAATGCACTGAAGTCAGTGCTTTGTCATGCTTCATTTGGGAGCTTATCTCTTTTAATTTGGATTCAGGTCACATCATTGTGTTTTTCTTTTTTTTTCCAAAGTATTGTAGAATACCAAAATTGTTCTACTACTTAGTCATTTTCACCTTCATTATTATTGCACAATTATATTTTTTTCTGCTTTCATTTGTATTTTATCTGTGAAAATGGATGTCATGTTTTCCACCATACTAGAGTGATCTTTAAGTGGTTGCCCTGGAGGAGGTGGTTTATCATTCCTTTGTCTGTTGGTGAATCTCTGGTGTTGCATTTTAAGTCAAACTTAGCTCTTAATTACTGTGTCTTGTATCTGTTGTGCTAAACATAATAGTCATAATTATAGCGTAATAAAGAACTTAAGCATAATTTTAGTTTCTCACCATTGTGACTACTGTTATTTTTTCCTGAAAAGGGTGAAAGTGAAAATGTTTGCATTTTTTAAATGGCTATGATTAGTATATTTAAAATAAATGTAAAATGTATTAAAACAAAACAGGCTGTGGTACAATAATATTGTAATAGTTGCAGCATATTTTTGTATGATAGTGGTACAGTGCATAATATCTCAGTTGAGAAATGCATATGGTTTATTTTTCAGAAGAAACAAAAGAACTGTAAAAGGGGAGTGCAGAAGATATGTTGTGTGCTTTAGTTCTGCTTGTTAAAGAAAAAGATTGAATAAAAAAAGTTGAAAATTATCACTAACAATGTGTGGATCAGAACAGATAAATTTAGTTATTCAATTTCATTGAACAGATGCAAAAAGAAAGATACGACATACTTAAGTTCTGATCTGTTCCTAATTTTCTCTATTATGACAAACATCTAGTATTTCCACTAGATCCATGCTTTTAAAGTAGGAGTTCACTGCAATGTTCTGAAAAGGACTTTGAAAGAATTTCCTCAAATTCTTTGCATAGTTTGGCTTGTTTCAGGGACTTCTGGTTTTTATGTCCCACTGAATAATGTCCTTTCCTCTAAATCAGTAAGCTTTATCTGGAAGCATTATAATTTTACTTCAAGACTCAGCATATAACTGGAGAAGCTTCTTTTTGGGAGCATTGTAAACAAAACAGTTACAGGAAGTGACTGATGGTTTAAGAAATTTGCAATACATAGAGATGAAGCTTCCACTAGCCTTGAATGAGTTCAGATTGACAAAGTGACTTTAAAGTGAGTAACATATCTATTTATATAATTGCACGTGAAAATAGTCCCAATTAATATTGTAGAATTTCTGGCTGCTTGAGTGTAATCCTACAAAAAAATAAAACATTTGCAAAGGATTTTTTTCCATACTTTTATCATTTCTTCATCATTATAAATTACAAAAGATTCATCTATTAAATACACTATATCAGTTCTGCAGCTTGAGCTGATTTTCTCATGTAGTTATGAATAATTTCTCTGGGTTCACAATGTTGGATACTGCATGGTATCTATTATATGCTTTTAGTACGATGAATGCAATTTATTACACTTTCAGTGAGAGATAATATAACTTGCATTTATTGTGGGAAAAGTGTGTGGACATGAGTAATTGTACAAAATTGCTGAAACACTGTAAGTAGATACTCTGGCTTCCTTTATGATGGTTTCTTTATGTGGCCACGCTTTTTAGTTTAAAAGCAACTTACATATTTAACTAATTAACCTTTTTCAAGGTTCAGATTTTGTTTTTTGATAAATATATTTTATGGAGAGGTCATATATTGTTAATTGAGGGGAAAAAATCTGTTTCTGAAGTATTTACAAATAGAGTTTGTGAAAACATAAATGCTCCAGTAGGTCTGTGTGACATCTTTTAAATGGAGAGGTTAGGGATGATGTATTCCTACTTAACTAGAATAAGCTAGTATTTTTTTGTCTGTGGCTTTGATGTGCACTAATAGTTTAAATTTTATCTTTCATAGCTACAAGAATTTGAAGCTGCTATCAAAAAAAGAGATGACATTATCACTCAACTCACTACTAACCTACAGCAGGCACGGAAAGAAAAGGATGAAACTATGAGGGAGTTCTTAGAGCTTACTGAACAAAGTCAAAAACTGCAAATTCAGTTTCAGCATGTAAGTTACAGCACTACCAATGTTTATTTGGGTTTGAAAATTGGTGTCACTTTGGAGGGTCCATAAATGGCTACTTCCTGCAGAAACACAGAATTTTTTGTGCATTTTTGAAGAATTTATCTCAGTATAGATCAGCAGTCACTTTACCAGTCCTACAGTTATCATTATAGTAACTGGTTTATTGTACTAATTCACTATAAAATAATAAAGATTAGTCTGTCACCATAAAACACTGTCACTAGTCATTAGTCACCATAAAACAATTTAATATTAAATGTTTTGTATTGGTTGGCCATCCCAAAAGAATAAGGATATTTCAGTTCCTCCTAAAAGAACTTAAAGATTTTTCCTATAGTCTTTGGGCTTGTGATGTGGAAGAAGAAAGTAAAGATCACTCTTTCTGTAGTGCAAGCTGTTTCTGAAAAACTTGATATGTTTTAGGTTTTATTTTTTTAACATTCAAGTTGCAGGCAAGTGAAGCCCTAAGGAACACCAGCCATAGTTGCACAGCTGCTGATTTATTGCAAGCCAAGCAACAGATACTTTCACATCAGCAACAGCTAGAAGAACAAGAATGTCTGCTGAAGAATTATCAAAAAAAGAATGAAGAATTTGAAGTGCAGATTACATGTCTTCAAGATAAAATCACAACATATGAAATGGTATGTTCCTTACTAGAAAGATCTCTTTTCCTAATCTTCTTCGTTTCCAGGATTTTGTAGTTCCTTTGAAATTTAAGGGCCAAAGCACAGATTATGAGTGTGCTGCATATAATGCATACAAAGATTTTAGATTTTTAAGACTGCTTCTGTTAACTAACACATAATATGTGTACAATTTAAAACTGAAATTTTTATGACAGTACTATGTATCATGTTTTAAAAAATTGGAGAAATATTTACAACAAATGATGAAATTATACTGTTTATTAGAATGCCTTCATTAAATGGCATTACTTTGTTAGGAAAAAAAATCTAAAATAACCTGCTTAAACAATCTTTTCTGTCTCAAGGAAAGAATGAATTCTTTTCTTCATGTACATTTTTTTAATTATCCTTCATGGAAAACATCTTAAAAGTACCTAAAAAAATTAAATGTCATTAAAAGTGACAAGAGACAAAGTGAAAACTTTGTCTACTGAAAAGTAGATTGCACCAAATATTTTTTTGAAGTATCAGAGCACAACTGGAAAAAATGGAAGTGTTTTTTTTGGGGGGTGGGGTGGGTGATTTGGGGGGCGGGGACACAGGGATTAGCACTTATTCCAAAGGTACAGAAAATCTCCAAATGAGGTCAACAAATAATTTATATTTAGTTTTTATATCACTAGCCTTCTAAAGAAAGGCATTGTGTTTAAATAGCTAGGTCTATAAATGTTCTTATATGTTCAGATAATGAACTAAAAATAAGAACATGGTTTTGCTCGTTTTTTAAAGGAAAAACACAAAAATGAGGGAGAAGATTTGAGTAAACTACAAGAAAAAGAAGCATTAGTTGAAGAGCTGGAAGCAAAACTTGGAGAAGAAGAAAAAAAATCATTTCAGCTTAAGGAAAAATTATCAGATGTCAGTAAATTACTTGAAGAATTGAAAGAACAGATTTCACTAAAGAACCAGGAGATAAGTAGTATGAGAGTTGAACTTACCACCTACAAACAGAAAGAAAGACAATGTTCTGATGAAATAAAACAATTAATGGGAACTGTGGAAGAATTGCAGAAACGATGTTATAAAGACAGCCAGTCTGAAGCTGACATTGTGCAAAGAATGGAATTAGAAACACAAAGGAGACTGGCACAACTTCAGGCTGAATTAGATGAAGTGCACGGCCAGCAGATTGTACAAATGAAGCAAGAATTAATTAAGCAACATGCAATGGAAATAGAACAGCGTCTTTTGCAACAAAAAGTAGAAGTGGAGAGAACTTCAAGTCTATGTTTGAATGAGAATGTTAATAAAGATCAAATGCATTTAATGAATATTAAAATTAATGAATTGAATATGAAATTGCAAGATGCTGATAATGAAAGGGAAAAAATAAAGCAAGAATTGTCACAACAGATGGAAGCCATTTCAGCAGAGAAGTCTCTTCAACAAGCTAAAATTGACGATCTTTTCCAAGAACTGAATTTTTCAAGAGAGCAGGTTCAAAGAGCCAAACAAACTATAGTGGATATGGAATGTAGGTTAAATGAAGCTGAAAAATACCAGTTTGTGATTGAAGATTTAAAAACTCAGCTGGCTTCAGCCTCTGAATTTAGGAAGGAATTGGAATTAAAACATGAGGCAGAAGTCACAAATTACAAAATAAAACTGGAAATGCTAGAAAGGGAGAAGGATGCGGTTTTGGACAGGATGGCAGAATCTCAAGAAGCAGAATTAGAGAGATTGAGAACAAAGCTTCTGTTTAGTCATGAAGAGGAACTTTCCAGACTTAAAGAAGGCTTACAAAAAGAGCACATGGTGAACATGGAAAGCCTTAAAGATAACTTGAATATGCACCATAAACAGCAGTTAGATGTGGTACAAAATGAAATGAGTCAAAAGATAGAAGCCATGCAATATGAAAAGGACAACTTAATCACAAAGCAAAATCAGTTGATATTAGAGATTTCAAACCTAAAAGATTTACAGCAGTCTATTGTAAATTCTAAATCTGAAGAAATGACACTTCAAATCCATGAGCTGCAGAAGGAGATTGAAGTGCTTAGGCAAGAGGAAAAAGAAAAAGGTACCCTTGAACAAGAAATTCAAGAGCTGCAGCTTAAAACTGAGTTGATGCAGGAACAAATGAGGGAGAGAGAAGATAGTCTTCAAAAAAAATGTTCAGAACTTGAAACACAAAATAACATTCTTAAGGGGGAAAACAAAACTCTGGAAGAGAAATTAAAAAATATGTTGGTAAGCTCTGAAGAAAATGTCATTTTTAATAGCAGTGTTAGCTCTAAGTCAGAAATTTTGGACTTGCAAAAAAGAATAGAAAAGCTGATTACTGAAAATGACCAACTTAAAAACCAAAACAGTCAACTCCAAGAGGATACTGAAAGGCAGAAGAATGCCTTTTCATTTACTGAGAAAAAACTTGAAGCTAATTATAAAGAGCTGCAGAAAGAATGTGTGAGTCTTGTGAAGGCAAAAACTGAGTTAGAAGAGAACAAGAATAAGCAGGAAGCTGAATATAAAAGCAAACTCAAAGCTTTGAATGAAAAACTTCACCATTTGCAAAGCAATAGACAAATTTTATTTAAAACTAAAACTTCTGGGTTTGAAGGGAGTAAAGACATCAAGGTGTCCAGGGCAGACACATTTGAGGCTGGAGAAGTTATTGAGAAAGATGCAACAGAACTTATGGAAAAGCTTGAGGTTACCCAGCGTGAGAAACTGGAATTATCCCTGAGACTTTCTGATCTCTCTGAACAGTTGAAATCAAAGCACAGTGAAATTTGTCATTTAAATGAAAAAGTTAAATCCTTAAAAGATGAGAAGGAACAAGTTCTAGCAAAATGTAAAGAACTAGAAGTCATAATTAGCCATGCTCAGAGAGGAAATAGTAGTAGTAATGACCCTAAGACAAAATGCTCTAAAGGAAAAGCTCTAAAGACTGCTGCTCCAGCATCTGAAAGTAGAAATAAAGCTCCTAGTCCAAGGAATAAAGTTGATGAAGGGATAAATGTAAGAGGAAATCTAGGTTCAGGTAAAGATATCAGTCATGAGATAACAAAAAGAAAGGATGTTCAGCAAATGTTGAAACCAGAACAGCAGTCTCTTGTAGAAAATTTGCATGGAATGACAGCCAGGCTGACAGATGAAACATCATTAATAGCCATTATACAAAGTGAAAATAATAATCTTCAGCAGCAAGTGGATGCCTTAAAATCAGAGCAGGTATGTTACATAAAGCAGTATAGAAAATAATTTACCGATGAAAATTTGTAGGAGCTTGCACTCGGAAATTTGCATCATATTTTTCCTACTAGCTGCTTTGAGGTACAGGTGCGTGGTCATGTGTGTGTGGCAGTGTGCTCAGTGGTTGAAAGTGGTTACGTGAATGACCAGAATGATAACCATAGCTAATGTGTGTGAGGATACTATTTTTCAGTGAAAAAAATACTCTTCCCTTACATTTAATTAAATCAACAACAACAAAAAAAGGTAAGAAGACGTCTAGAGCAATTCACACTTTGATACAACATTTAACTAACTACTTGAGGTGAAAACTTATCCAGGACATAATTTTTTAATCTGTGATTAGCTTTTCAGTTCTCTAAGTATTCATTCAAACAATATAAAGAGATAATGAAACTCTTGACTTCTTCAGTCATCTTATATCAAACTTGTGAAATATCAAACTTGAGAAATATTAATCTTCCATTATCAAAATTTTTGTGTATATGTGGTTATCACTTCTTAAGAAATGTATCTGGATGTGAGCGTGAGAAGAGAAGTGTGTGAAGATACAGAAGTTATGCATATCGTGATTCTAACCAATCCCTATGTTTTGCTGGAGAAATTTTGCTTGTATTTTTTGGTGTTGTAAATGAATTGCAGGTAGTATGGAAAGGATGGTTATTTGCCAATAAAAATAGCTAAGTATTGAACTACCAATATTTAATTAGGAATCATAAATCTGGCTTTAAATTTATATACAGTGATGAAGTTGAATAGCATGCTGCAAGAAGTATGCAACTAAGTTTTCTGTAGAAATAGATGTTAACCAGTCTTCGACTATTTTTTTAGATTGGTTTTTTTAATGTTCTACAAATCCACCTAACAGTGAACTAATATCACCACTGCCTAATTCTATGTTGTGTTGTAGTTCATTCACTTCCTAAGAAATAAAATCACAAGCAAAGCCACATTGGAAACAGTTGTGAGACTATAGAAAAGAGCTACAGCTGTATAATGTATTTTTTTTTTTTTTTATGAGGATGTGATAAAGGTCTTGCAATTTCCTGCCATAGAACTAAAAAACCATTATGGTCCAGAGGTGTCTAAAAACCTTTTCAAACTTGGACTCTAAATAGCTCATTATTGGCATATCCTAAATATGTTTTTGCTTTAGCAATAACATCCTCAAAACAGCAGACTAGAACTAAAAGCCTTGGAAATCAATGTTTTTGAGGTCTGTTAATAATAGTCTTTTTTCTGTATTTGGAGTGAACTTTCTTAACTTACTCTGCTGGTAGTGATATTGCTCTCACTTAATCAGAGTAAAATTCATTGGATTTTTATTGCTGCAAAATAGGAATTGAAGCATATTGAGTTTTGTTGATTTTAGTTCGATTTTTATTTTAAGTTGAAGTGTCATACTATTTTGTTACAATTCAGTTTTCCAAACTGTGTATATTTAGATTTACCTAATGCACACCATATATGCAGCATTCCATTCAACACATTAATGTCAGAAATTCGCAGAGATGGGGCTTTTTTGTTTCCTTGTTTCTCACTCTTTGTAAAACGTGTCTCTTTATTCAAAGACTGATTTACAGCTACAGATGGAAGCACAGCGCATTTGCCTATCCCTGGTTTATTCAGCTCATGTAGACCAGGTTCGTGAGTACATGAAAGCAGAAAAAGAGAGTGCACTTTGCAGTCTTAAAGAGGAGCTTGTACGTAGTCACCTACAAGAGATGAATGATCTTAAAAAAATGCATCAGCTGGAGCTCCAGACCTTGAAAATTCAACAAGCAGGTAACTTGACCAGACTTATGGTAGTGAAGCTCTTGATATGAAAAAGTGTCTTTGAAAGAAAACAAGCACAAGAGTTTGTGCATGTAGCTGTCCAATAAATTGTTTTTATAGAACATTTTGAAGTGTTTTTATACCAAATTATTTACCCATTACAAGTAGTCTATTACTCAGGGTATTTAAAAAAAAAAAAAAGTAATAATAATACAAAAAAGAGAAAGAATAGGAAGTATTACAACTCATGTTTTGCTATTTGTATTAGGTCAATTAATTGTAAAGAATTATATAATAGATTCACCTATAAGATTGTATTCCTTACTGAAATAATAAGCAAATGCATCAGCAAAATATTTTTGGGCTTGTCTCATTCTCTGTTCTTTGAATTCCTGCATTGGCTCCCTGTCCACATTAAGTAAGCTTCTTTGCTACTACTTTTTGCCTCAATGAGCTTTTATATTATCATGCTGGTTTTCTATCCCTATTTTTCTGTCATCCCATGATTTGCGTTTGTGTAATTTTTTGGCATAAGTTCTTTGCTCTCCAGTATGTTTCTGTAAGGTTTGATCTTTCTAGAGCTCACTAACACACAGAGCTATTTCTTAACACTTACTCCTCCTGAACATGCAGTTCTACCATAATAATTGAATCTGTCTGTGTGATGCAACAAGAAAGAGGGGAAAAAAATCCTATGCCTTTCTAAGAGCTGAAGAGGCAACCTCACCGAGGCAGGAAATTAGGCCTTTGAAAAGTTGCTGTGCATACAGTGTTTAAAAATAATATGAATAATTTGTATTCATAGATGATGAAGTCAGATCTACACAAAGACTTATAGAAAAGCTGAATGAAGCTGTAACTGAGGAATGTTCTAGGCTTGCTCAGGTAAGACTTAACAAAGAGTCTTTTTTAAAATGGAAATTTTGAAAACTAAAAATTATGTGTCATCATTTTTTACAGGTTTTCTTTGCAGCTTTTCTCTTTGCATTGATCACAAAATAAACCTGATTTTCCAAAATAACATTGCAAGAGGTTTTGTATTTTGTTTCCTAAACTCTTTTATGTCCTTGTCCAGACAATTCTGTCTTATACCTAGTCTTGATCTTCTATGTAATGTTTGTCTTGCATCTACTAGTTTGGAAGGGTTTTTTTTCATTTCGATATGTCTCTGCCTATAAGTTGTTGATTTAACAGTGGTCTGATGTCATGCACATATTGGCACACAGGACATCACTCTCTCACATCTGCAATAAGATAGTAATTTCTTTCTTAGCTGCAGCATATCTTTCAAAGACTTAGAAGTGTCTAAGAATCTACCAAAATTGCTGTCTATATTATTTTCAGTAACTAAATATTATAGTCAAAAATTGAAGTTTATTTTTATTCTGTATTCTGGTATCAGCCACCAACAACATTATTTTGCCATATCTTTTTTTGTAGATTTCTAGTAATCAATGGCCCTTACGGGTACTTTTTGACCAGCAATCAAGTTACTTATTAAACTTATTTCTGGATAAATTAAGCTACTTTCATCATTCATTATAAGCCATGGTTTCCCAATCTTAAATACTTCAAATGGTTGGTTTTGGTGGGGTTTTTTTTTCCTTCTTTGATGGACTTTTTTCAACAACTTTTTGGGAAAGTGGATAGCAGAACTTTTTTACTTGAGACCCGACATAGGAGAGATTAAGCAGGACTCCATGATCATAGAAAGCAGCAGCTACATGAGAGTCTTTGGCATTAGTTGTTTCAAAGCTGGGAAGAATGCTGCCGATCTGTATGATTCCATGTTGAGCTTTTGGAAAAATTGTAATTTTACTTTTGTAAGTTGAATTTGGTGTCTATTGAGTCCAAAATCTTCAAATAAAGAATCCCACTGTGTGCTCTGGGCAGGCCAAGTTTCTTTTCAAGTATCATTTATCTTCAGAAATCATATGGATAAATCTTCTGTTTGCCTACTCATGGTAAATATGGCAGCTATTCTGCTGGCCACATAGCACCAAGAAACATGAGGCATTCTGTTTATGATTTGCTTGAGTTTTCTTCTGCCATCCCCTTTTATCCTATTTGTTCAACAAGGTGAATTGTAATCTCTAAAAAGATACAAATTTCTGCCATAGGGAATCCTTCTTCCAAGTAAAAATGCAGTTTACAAGAATGAGACATTTACAATGTAAATTTGCTTTCAGCATTAATAAAGGAGGCCTTTCTATGCAAGATTTTAATACTGGGCAGTTCCAAATTAAATAGCCATGCCAAAAAATATGTATTTATGTTTTAGCTGAAAAGTCTTTCCATATCTGTTTCTTTTATCAGGAGTTTTAAAGACTGTCTAGGTTCTTACGACTCAACATAACATCTATGCCATCATTTCCACAGAAGAAAATATTCACAAAATACTACTTTCCTGCCACCATTTTTCTTGTTTTCTTTGTGAATTGTGATTGATAAATTAATAAACGATCCTTCACTTTTTTTTTCTTTGTTTCATTTGTTGTGCAGGTTTTGTGTGACAATCAGAATGAATATTCTTCAGCTGCTGTAGAAGTTAGTGATAGTGAACAGGATATTTTCAGTAGTCCTGCTGCTGTGAGAGAAAGACTGAGTGTAGAATTACCAATACACAGAGATCAAGCTCAAGGTAATGGCATTGTACTATCATGCTGGTTAAAAAAACCACTGATTTCAACTATTTCAGATTGACAATTATGCCATTAGTTGTTCAGATGCTAATTAATGTGCCTAAATAGCTGCTTTAGAGATTTCCTCACTGTTCTAAAACCACTTTTATTTTTTATTATGAGTATTTCCTTATGCTGTTTTCATTATAGTGGAGATCAGTGAAAAAAGTGTTGGGTTTTTTTTTTCCTCCTCCTTTTGTGGAAGCAGCTAGCAGCTCTACCAAAAAATTCATATATATCCATACCATATAAAAATGCATCCAAAATTTGGAAGGGGCCTCACTTGTTTCAATATGTAATGTTTATCAGATAATTATTCAGTGGAGAACTTGTGAACAATTCGTTGTATTAACATTTATGGTAAAATGTTTGATTTCATTCTTTTTTTAAAAGTCCCTGGTTATCTGTGTAATTTAGCTGTGCAAGAACATATGGATGCACTTCTACACAAGATAATGGAAGAATATAGTAGGCTGAGAGCACTTCAAACACAGCTGATGAAGGATTGTGAACAGGTAAACTTTTTATAGTATATGAGTATTTGAATTTTCTCTGTTGCATGAATTCCCTCTGGATGAGTAAAGAATCTTGGTTGAGTGGCAGAGCAAGGCAATGATTGATAAAATGGAGAAAGCTGCTACCCACGTCACAGAATTATGGAATGGCTGAGGTTAGAAGACTCTTGGAGTTTGTCTAATCCAACCCCTTGCACAAAGCAGGGTCAACTAGAGGAGGTTGCCCAGGACTGTGTTCAGCTGAATTTTGAATATTTCCAAGGATGGAGACTCCACAAGCCCAGTGGGCAACCTTATCTTCTTCAGGGTACACATTCCCAGCTCTCTCTGTCTCTCCTTGTAAGACAGATGCTCCAAGCCCCTCATCTCCTTTGTGATCTTCTGCTGGACTCATGCCAGTATATCCATTTCTTTCTTATACTGGGAGTGCAGCACTGGACCCAGCAGTCCAGATGTGTCTCACCAGTGCTGAGTAGAGAGGAAGGATCACCTCCCTCAACCTGATGGCAAACACTCTTCCTAATGCAGCCCAAGAGGCTGTTGGACTTCTGTCATAATGGCACATTGCTGGTTCCTGTTCAACGTGGTGCCCACATAGGCTCCCAGGTCCTTTTCTGCAATGCCACTTTCCAGACAGTCTGTCCTCTGCATGTACTAGTGCACTGTGCTATTCCTCTCTAGGTTGCAGGAGTTGGCATTTGCCTTTGCTGAACTTCATGAGGCTCCTCTCAGCCCATTTCTCTGGCCTGTTGAGGTCTCTTGAAATAGCAGCACAACCATCTGGTGTATCAACCACTCCTCCCAGTTTTGTACAGTCTGCAAACCTGCTGAGGGTGCACTCTTGTCCCATCATCCAGGACATTCATGAAAAGGTTAAACAGTATCAGCTCCGGTATTGACCCATTAGGTACACCACTAGTTACTGGCTTCCAACTGGGGTTTGTGTCACCGATCATAACCTTTTGAGCCCAGCAGTTCAGCCAGTTTTCAGTCGGCCTCACCATCCCCATTCTTCATCAGTTTGTCTATGGGCATGTAACGGGAGGTGGTGTCGAAAGGCTGGTCAGGTGTGATTTTCCCTTCATAAATCCATACTGACTACTCCCAAATGGAGTATCTTTTCAGCTTCATGCGTTTGGAAATGGTTTCCAGGATTATTTGCTCTGTCACCTTCCCAGAGATCAAAGTGAGGTTGACTTGCCTGTAGTTCCTCAAATGTTCCTTCTTTCTCTTCTTGAAGGTAGGAGTGCTTTTATCTAGTCCTCAGAAACCTTCCTCAGTCTTTGAAAGATAATTGAGAATGGGCTCGCAATAACATAGACGAGCTCCCTCAGCACTCCTTGGTGTATCTCATCAGGCACCACCAAATTGTTCATGTCCAGTTTGTTCCCTAACCTGATCCTCCTCCACCAAGATTGTCTTCCTTGCTCCAAATTTTTACACTCATCTCAGGGGCCTGGGATTCCTAAAGACAAATTTTACCAGTAAATTTGGAGTTAGGTACTTCCATGTATTAAATAGAGTACTCTAACCAATTCTATTTAGAGATGGTTGCAGGTCACATGTATTGATGGATATACATGTACAAAAAAATATTTGTGTGTGAAAACTGCATCTTGAGCCTGAGGAGGGTATTAGTGTCTTCCTTTCCTTCTTGGAGTCAGAGGAATTATAAATTAACAGTTTATATGCAGAGAGAGGAGTTTGAGATTTACATGGTCATTCTGCACAGGCTGATCAACTAGCTATAAATGTATACTTGGTCATTCAGGCTGTAAATGAAACACATTGTTACACTAGTTACACTCTCTTATGCATTGGCCACCAACCTTTCTTATATGTTTATAATTATAGTTAATATTTTTGCATTATTGCTAGACAAATTGTTGTCATTTGTGTTTACTTGGTTATTTTTTAGGCCAAAGAACCATGGCTATCTTCTTCAGAAAAGAGGAAAGAAGAGGAACCTAGCCACCTGGAAAGAAGAAAGGAATGTCTGCAGACCCCTTCCCAGGGTCTAATGGGTAAGAAGATGCATATGCTGTTTTTAATGTATGTATATTCAGAGAGAGAGGGAAGACAATGACTGATTCATAGCTTACTACAACTTGAAGCACATAAGAGATTTTTGCAGATTTTGATGTACGATACTCTAATTTTCTTAAATCTCTGAAATATTTTGGAGTTGTATTCTGTGAAACAGCTTTAGTTTAGTCTTTTTCAGTTTTCTACAGTTAAAGTTCCATTACCCATATCAAATACAGTTTTTCAAAATGGAAGATTAAGTTATAATTATTTGTTACGGAAAAGTAATTTATATGATTGATATAAATTTTGATATGAAATTGATATGAAATTGATATGAAATTTTTAACTACAGTAATTATTCAGTCGATCACTGCTAATAACTTAGGAGAGAGTTAATTTATACTAATGTAATTTATTTCCACACACCCCCCCGCCCTTCAAATAACCTACATATAGATCCTAAGATTCAAGAATACTGTTCAAAGGAGATAGGAAACCTTAAAACACAACCTGAAGAACAGCATGCTCGAGAACTGGAACACCTCCGGTCCTGTTTCCAACAGCAGCTGAAAGAAAGTGAAGAGAGATACACTGCAGAGATTGTCCATCTGCAGGATAAGCTTCAGAGGGCTGGGGTATCCTCTGACCACACGAGGTATTAATTGGTTCTTTAATGCTTATAACTTCGCACTGCATACAGAAAGTAGTGTTTCAAATATGTAAAGCTACATGTTTTACTTCAAAATTCGAGAAATTCTTTATAAACATATTACTCTTATGTTGTTTTGTTCCTTCAAGAGTTGCTAAGAGTGTTACGAAGAAATGCCATAAACATTGCAAACTAAGTAGTGCAGCATTTAGAATTCATTACATTTTTATAGTTAATAGAGGAAGATTTGATAATTGAAATAATGCATAAATATAATTTCGTATATATGAGCTTTTTAGCCATAATTTCAAAACTTCCAACTCAACAGACCACTTTTAACCCTCGAAACTCCAGGCAATGTGCTTTACATCTAAAGACACCTCATGTAGCATAGTTGCATAAAATTGATGATTTTCGAGAGTGATATGTAGCAATAAAGTTTGTGGCAGAGTTGAGGTCCATTTAACACGTTCTGGCTTTTACCAAGTCATGGGCCATGGGACATACTCATCAGCCTCCTCGTGGCCCTGACCATTGTGGCCATTCAAACCTGAAAGTCATGCAAGTGTCTTGGGGGGATCCTGACAACTGTGGAGCCTCCTTCTGTTGCCTGATTCTTTCACTGTCTCCTTGGGTGTGTTCAGGGAGTGGTGGGTGCTTTTGATTGTGCTCTATTCAGTGTCATTTCTGGTTTCCTGTTCTTCCATTTTTCTTGACCATTTTTGATGTATTCCTTCCTTTTGTTTCATTTACTATGCTACAAATCCACTCAGTTTCTCTGCATTTTCTTTGATCTGAATCTCCCTTCTTTGAGAGAGGACTATGAGCGTTTGTTAGTCAGACAAGTGCCCAATTGTAAAAGGGAAATGGGTAGACACAGTGGCAATAGGAAATGCTACTAAGAAGCGGGGAAAATTGCCTAGGAGTTTCTAGAAATTGTTAAATATTTGATATACTTACCACAGTACTCTCTTAAAAAGAAAAAAGACTGTGGTAGGATAAATCCTTAGAAGCTGAGAGAAATGAAGATAAAAGTGTTTTCCTTCAACCATGACCCATCAGAAACCAAACAGCTGTTTTTCCCTTATTGTTTGATCACAGCCTTTTCTCAGCCGTCTGTGTTTTTCTAACTTTCAAACATTTTTCCTTTCATTCCTGAAAAAAAAATCTTTCTAGTCTTGGAAATGGCAAGTAAAATATCCAATTTTTTTCCTCGTATGAATTAATACTTGTATGTACTTGTTTTGAGGTGAATAAGACATCCAAGTTCTGCAGATGTTTGTGCATCTGTAAGACTGAGGCTTTGTATCATTGTTTTCCACTATGTGCCTTGTAGAATCAGTACACATTTATTAGCCTGAACTCAGTTTTAAGGGACTGTATGGCTTCTTAATCAATTACTTTTTAATTTTTAAAAAAAATACAAGCTATAAGCATTTTCAAAATGCATTTTCTGCAACTGTATACTGCTGTATGTGTCTTGGCCAGGACAAGTTATAAATACTCATATATGATTTCTAAATTATTTTTAAATGGGTAGTTAGTGTTCTGATTTATTCCATGATAACTATTCACCTAAAATACTCAAAACTCATTTTACATATGTTTAATGAGCATTTAGAGCAATTATTGGTATTTATAAGCTAACAGAGTAGAGAAAAAATTTCCCATGAAGATTTGCATTCTCTTAGCTTTCATACCTGAAGTTCAGGTTTTAAACATTAAAATGAAACTGGAGTTTTACAGGAAGAGTTCCTAGATCAGTACATAAATTGTTTTCTAATAACCTAGTATGGAGATCTGTCTCATTACATCACAAGCCTGAGGATGAGTGTCTTTTAATGGTGTGGTCAGTAACCTGTTGAATGATCTGTTACATACTCAATCACCATACCTGGTTGTTGCTGCATCTTTTAAGGTAAGATCTAAGTAGGGATATAGCTGTGGCCAAGCTTAGGAATTTTTTGGGGACATTTTTATCTGGTTGTGTATCTATTGCAACATCAGAAAAGAAAAAAAAAAAATCAGTTGCTACTGTTCATTAATCAAATTAAACATGAATGCTAAAAGTAATGGGTTACTTTTTGTAGTTAAAAATGTCACAAGTTTTGTAAAATTACCATTCTGGATTCCATTTCAGGATTATCTAAACCAGCTCTCAGATTTGAGCAAAAGAAGCTTCATGGTCTCTGTAAAACCCTACTGTAGTTAGGATTGTAAGTCTCACAGACAATAAATTTACCTTCTAACTTAATCTACTTTGTATCCTGTCTTTTAGCAAGGGATTAGTGTCTGTGGTAGCAGATCACAAATGCTAGAGGAGAGAGATTTTTTTTTTTTTTTTTTTTTTAGGTAGTTTGATACTCTGTCTTCTCCTTTTGGCAGTGTATTTCTGTTGAGTCTTTTTCAATATGCAGTGAAAGGGGAGCTAGAGTTTTGGTGGTATGCGGTGGTGTTTTGGTTTTTACTGATTTACGTAGAGCAGTTCTGTTAGAAAAGACAGTCTCCAAATATATTTCAGCATATTATTATCTAAATATAAAATGAATCACATGTGGATTTCTTACTGTTTTCATCTATATAACACAAGAAAGCAGTGCATCTGTTGATAAGCATCAATTTAAGAGAATCAAAACAAATATAACCATTTTCTAGGTGGTTTTATGGCTTCATACACATAGCCATTCTGGTTTCTGTCATATCCTTATGATTCAAACAGGCACTTTTGTCTTCATCTTAATTGTGTTATTAAGCACAAAATATTCTCGGGTAGCTTTAAGAGTAAGTTATTCGTGAGGTCCTTGGTAAAACTGGTGTTGAGATGAGTTACATTGAGAGGAGGAGCTAGCATTTGGAAGGCAGATGAATTATAAAGTCAAGTTTACGAAATTAATGGCATGGGAAAAGGTGTGTGGTGAAGAAAATATTTGCAGTTACTGGTCTTTAAATATATATAATGTATAGGTATATTCATGAAATGCATATTTGAAGAGAGGAAAAATAAGGTATATTGAAATACTCTTTTTTTTTTTCATTTCCCCCCTCTGCTTTTTTTACCTTTTTAGTGTATCCACAGATTCACAAATAAAGCTAAAAGAAGTCTTCAGGGAAGTGAAGTGCACTGAAAATCTTCATCAGCAAAGAACAGATGAAGCACTGGAGGTATAATATAACTCAGTTGACAGCTAATATACGTATGGTCAATATAATTTAGATGCTTTGGGTTCTAAGACGAAATTGAAATATGGACTAGTATTTGATAGTAGTAAAGTAATGATCATGTTAGTACTATGCTATACTATTAGACGGTCCATGTTAGAGGAAAAAGATTTAAATTTTCCTGAAAAACATTTCTGGAATTTATGAGCAATAAAGCTTGCTTTATTGGTCTTGGGTTTTAATATTTTTTAATTGTTATTTCTTTGAAACAAGACATTTGGTTTAGGCTACTTCTTACTAAAGTGGAAAAAAATTAGTGTTCAAATTCTGGGATTTCTTCAGGAGTCTTTAAAATATTGTGACTTTTCTTTAAACTCTAGTTATGGAAGGGGACTGATTTAAGTAAAATCCTAGAACTTTTTAAGTACAGACTGCACAGTTTTTAGAAAAAAAATTTGAAAAAGTAATCCCAAAGATCTTAGAAACCAAATGCAAATGGAAAAGACTTCATACATGTCCCCCTAGTACTGCTGGAGACCTGGCTCAATAATTCTGCATTTTGAAAAATAGTGATGCTGCTTTGTACTGTGATCCTGTGCTTTCTTACCTGTTTTCTCTACATTTGACAATTCAAACAGTGCTGGGAGAACAATTGTTGCAAACTCAACTTTTAAAATTAATTTTGAAGCAGAAACAAGGCAAAGTCCTTTACCCAGTTCTTTTATGTTGTGATGCAAAATTATGTGATTTGCATGAAATGGAGATAACCTAACTGAGGAAAAAAATCTCTGTCGGATTGAAACTTTCAAAATTAATGAAATAAAAGCACAAAAGAAATTTCATGGTTTTCTTACAGCTTGCTAGTGAAATTGAAATGCAGAGTGATCTGGATGTTGTTCAATTGCTAGAAAAACAGTACCAAGAAAGATTAGAAGAAGAAATAGCAAAGGTATTATTTTTATTTTGTTATTTTAAAATATGTTTAAAAAATACTGTCACTTTCATTTGCCATTTCTGACAATTCAGACAGTTGCAATAGCATATGCTAACTTTTGTTTGGTTTATTTACAAGGAATTGTTTCATTCTGATTCTGAAAGGGGAAAGTCTTAAAAAAAAAATTCTGAAACATTTTGGTTTTTTTTTAGTTGTCTCTCTTATTCCTAACTCATAATTTCTGTTCATGTGGGGGGTGGTGGTGGTGTTTTTGCTTTAATACTTCAAAGAAAATAGACAACATGCAAACACATACTTGACACTAGAATTTATTTAGAAAATCCAGAGCTTGGATTTCTTGCTACTTTAGGCTTAACAGCTGGTCAGTTCAAAAGATTTTGCACTTAACAGTTTCACACTATTTTCTGATCGTATTTTATTGTGCATTTTAATATATTGTGTAAAATGCATAGTTTTTATTTGGATCTGGTGACTTTCTCTAAAATATGAGAAGTAAAATTAAGATTTTATAGGTAGAGTGTATTAAATTGTTTGTGGATTTACTTACTTTTTGACTTCCAAAAATTTTTTCACTTCTTTGCAGAATGAAAAATTATCTCTGCTTTCATTATACCATGGCATAAATAAAAATCAAATTAGCATAAATTAAAAAGTGGGGGGGAAAAAAAAAAGGAATTCTTCTTAAAAAGGTTTGCAGTCAAGAGTTAGGAAGAATGTTATAGCCGGCACTAGATGATGGCATTAACTTAAGTAATCCACGTTTCTGAAGTAAAAGTTCCATTTCTCTCATCTGCTGCCAAGAAAACTCTTCTTTATGGGAAAGCAAAGTGCATGATTGACTAGCATTTTGTTAAAGGCTGTTTAAGTTCGAAAGACAAACTCACATTTTCTGGAAAAGAAGAGTTAGGTATTGTCTTTTCAGGTGTAACACTTCTGTATTTATTATACTTTTTTTTTCACACTTTTGTAGCTTATGCTATAAATGGCTGTATTCTAAATCTAGAAAAGAACTGCTCACGTGATTGGAAAAGGGGTTTATTTGTATTAGAAGGAGATACTTAGCAATAGAAAAGTTACCAGCCTGTTGTAACTGAAACTGCAGCTGTCTAATGCCAGTAGAATTTTCTTTCTGGTCAGGTAAAATTCCTCTGCTGAGTATCAAGCACATGGCACCACTGTCTTTATACAGCCCAAAATTCCATGTCAGTGAAATGTTTACAAAGGATGCTTGGTTAGATAGAGGAAGCTTAGCACAGCTCCACTTATGTCAATATGCCAGGACTTTTTAAAGTCACGTTCTAGAATCTTTTTTAAAAAGAACTAGGTAATTCTGTGCTAAATAATATATTTTAATTGAAAATAACATCGTAGTTTATTAAAATACCTTAAATACAGCATGTCTCTATTTTAAGATGTGACTGTTGATGAGATTGACAAGATGTCTCTGGTTTTTTTGCCTTTCTGTTTTCTTCTGTTAAAAAAAAATATAGAATCATAGTTCAGAACTTCTAGTACTTTTATTTATATTATTGATGGTCAGCAATGAGATTTCTTCAGCAATAGGAGATGCTGTGAAGCATAAACTAATACAGATTTTTTCTTATTTATTCAGGTAATTGTGTCAATGAGTGTAGCATTTGCCAAACAGACTGAATTGTCAAGAGTTGCTAGGCAGAAGGAAGAAGCAGCACAAACAGAGTTTGTACATCAACAGAGAACACATTTTGAAATTAAAAAGCAATGGAGTGAAGAAGAGGTTGACGGCCCTCTTAGAAAAGCCACAGAAAAAGGCAGTAAGCATGAAGAAGAATTGAAATCACTTTGCAAGGAACTTACTGAAGAGTCTGGTGAGATCAACTCACTTGGAGAACAGCTTCATTCTAATAGCAAGCCTGGTTTCATATTAGGACAGACCACACATGAATCAGTGATTTCTGAAGAACTCTTTTCCCATGTCAAAGGGCTTACAGCGGAAGAAACACTGGTAAGCATAAAAAAAAATTGGCAGTGTGTAACACCATATCTGAATAATCTTTCCAATGGATTTACAGTTAATTTCAACGAGAAAACTGCAAAGAAAGAAACTAAGATGAAAATTCCATTTAAATATTTCCCTTTCCCTTTCAAAGAGGTGACAGCTTTAGACCTAAATTATCTACCCTTATTTCTTATGTTCTACCTGACTATCATAGCATTACGCTACGCTGTGAGGAAAGGAATGTGACACTGGTTACATGAAAATAGATTATTCCATTTCATAGATAAAACTGTATTGCAGGCAATAAATGTTATAAAGACTTTTTGTAAGTCCAGGTTATATTCTAGTGTTTATACAAGGAACAGGTTAAAAATAGTGTTTAAAAAGTTTGAGTTCCTTGTGATAAAGGATATCAGCTGAACACAAAAATTATAAAATTAATATGTAAAATATGTATTTACCATTCATAAACATGGGATGGCGGGTAGGGTGTGGAATAAGTATGGTAAAAAGCATTCATAAATTTTGACTCCACAATTTCATCCTAATTTTAATTTTTTTATTAAATTTGGTACTAGTTGAAGCAAAAATTACACTTTCAAATTTGTATAACAGTTAAATATTCTGATCTTGTATTATCTTCATAGTGAATAAACTGTAATATTCCTGCTTTGTATGTTACTGCTCTCTCAAACTTCTCTTGTACCCACACACTCTCAAACACATGTATGTCTGCCACTGCATTTTCTGTTGAATCTCCACCAGCTAAAAAGCATAAGAGTTAACACTGTTCACAGTTATTTTTAAAAAAATTGTCTTTTAAAAATAATTCTAAGCCTGGACCTTCCAAGAAACAGGCAACAAGATAATGCTTTTGAGATAGCTACTTGAATTTGTGAAAGTATTTTCTAAAATTTATTTAAATATTTATGAGAAACTGTCATCGAACATAAAATGCTAAAATAGTTCCAATATTTCAGCGCTACAGTGAGATCACAGCATCAGATACAGAAACATCAAGTCAGCTGTTGTTATATGAGGAACGTTTGGAAGACATGCGACAGGAGCTAGTACGGCAATATCAGGAACATCAGCAGGCAACAGAATTATTGAGACAAGGGCACATGCAGCAAATGGAACGTCAAAAAGAAAATCAAGAGCAACTCTTAGCAGAGCTTGAGAGTCTTAAAGTGCAATTAGCTGAGGTAATATGGGGTTTGACTCAATGAGTTAACATGGATTAACAAAGGGACATCACCAGGCAGATTTGTATTTATTTATACTCTTATCTCTCTATATATTGAGAGACATGCACATATTTATTATATGTATGCACACACACACACACACACATATCTATTTGTATGTGTATATATACAAACACATATATGCATAAAAGGCATATTTCCTTAATCGAAGCTTAGTCAGTGATGGATCAATTTAGACTTCTGTAAACCTGGAGAAAGCCTGCAGTGCTGCACGGCAGCCAGAAGAGTGAGTGCAGATGCATTGTAAACCATGCCACCTTCCAGATAAATGGCCCTGTGCAGGATGCAGACTAGCGTCTATTTACATCAATGAAGCCACTAGCCATGGCTAGAAATACTATAGAATTCTTCATTTTTCCTCATCCCCACTTGAGGTCTGAACTTGAACAGTATCGGTGGCTTCCTGCAACAATGTGTTTTGGCTTTTTTTGTTGTTTTTTTAAATCATGGGAGATGAAGTCCTTACTAACTGTTGGAATGAAACAAAATCTGTGGGGTTTGGTGGGAAACACCACTGTTTCCTTGCCTTTTTAAACTTAACTTGCTGTCACTGCATCTATTCAAAGCCTATAGTAGGTATGCTAATGAAACTCATTAATTTATCTTAATAATTAAGTCTTCAAAAATAATGTCATTTATAGACCTGTCTTCAAGGATTTCTTCCCTTGAAAGACATAGTAAACAGAATCCAGAAGAATTTGTCTTGCTCTGATTTAATTTCAACAATGTAACATTACAGAAATGCACATGGAAATAGTAATCAGTTATTTCTAAAGTTCTTTGATTTCACTGTGGAGTGGTGCTTTAGGTTTCTTCAGACCTTATCCAAACCTGGTTCTGTTCTGTTTAAGTTTGGGCTCAAGGAGCTGGGGAATCTAGAGAGCCAGTCACTTGTATCCTAGGTGTCTTTTCCAGCGATGTCAGGTGTCTCTTTCTCCTAGCTGCTCATAGGTGTCTTTCTATCATTTATCCTGATAATCCTTCCTTTCAATATATACATCCTTTCTCCTTTTACCTCTGTCAATTTGCAACTGCATCTTTCATCAGGGTTTGCAAATTCCTGAAACTGATGAAAAACATTAAGTAGAACTTATGCTGCTGGCTTTTCTCCATTTTTTAACGCCAAGGATGGTTTATCCATAAGAACCGCATAGGAATGTATGCATTGCATTTAAGCCGTGAACACTTCTAGCTCTTCTAAAAAAGAGTGTGTGTAGGCTTTTTATAAAAATAACTTATTTTCATCTTTTTCCTTGTGCAAAACATGTACTATAGCTTGTAATATTTAGAAATTAACCTCCCAGTTTGCATTGTGACCACAGTGTTTCATAAAGAGCATACAAATTATATGAAAATCTTAAAGAAGGTGTAAGATACCAAAAGTATTTATTAGCTGTATTCCATTCTAGAAAGCTTTCAGTGTCTTTGTAAGCATTTAAAGAAATGGACTGAAATTTCATTGTGCAAAATACGTAAAAAATTAGAAGTGACAGGACTCACTAATACTCAGAAGCTTAAAAAATTGTGTGTGCCTCTATAACACTTCTTTCTTAGCGTGTCTCAATGGAGAATGACAGCCTGGTTGCAGAGAGAGAGAGAATGCTTTTAGAAGAACTGGAATCACTAAAACAACATTCTGTACCCGGAAAAGAGAGGCTGTTTTGTGAGCTACATAACAACAGCACACAAACAGAGGTAAAGATGGACTTTGACTTTCTTGGCAGCTATGGCATGTAAAACCAGTAAGATTCCTTTTCGCTGCTACTCTTTTTATGCAATATATTTTCCTAAAAGATGTTGGTTATTGCTTGAACAGAGCAGGTGGTACTGGTAGACATAGTTTTTTACTTCAGGTAAGCAGAAGCTAGTTTAACAGCTTGAAGGTGGGGATTATTACTATGGGTATTTGCTCAGGTAAACTCACATTTTCATATCGTTATAGCAACACCCAACAGGAAGTACAAGGACTGTTTAATCAGCATAACAAAGTTCTTTCTAATAGGCCCTGCCTTGGACTTCCTGTTTTGTTTTTATTTATGTTTTAGTTAATTTTTCCACATAGGAAGCGTATTTCTTGATTTGTAATTTGGTGCAGAAGTTTAATTAACAAAACACAACTAATTTAGGTTTTAAATTTCATGTTCTACTGCATATAAGAAGAATATGTTGATTCTGGCATGACAGGATTTCTGTCCTTTTTGTCTTCTCTCCCTCTGCAAAAACTTACTCAGAATGAAAATGAAAACCAAAACGATGTGAGAGAGCAGATCTTTGAGGATGAAGATGGAGGAAGAAAGCCTGATGAAACATCTTCAGCTCTTCTTTCTAAAGAAAGGTGCTTAGAACTGTTAAGCAAACATCATTATTTTAAAAATGTTTAGAATCATGTTCTTGTTGTTAAATTAATATTTATAAGCTTTATTCTGACTAATGATAATAGCATTTTGTATTCTAGACAACCATATTTCTAAGTTTACATACTTTAGATTAAACAATGTCTTATTATTTATAAAGCCTGACGATGTAATGGCATAGAGGATGAGACAAATCTTAACCTATTTTACTATATCTTTCATATTACACACATATAGAATCATATAGATCATTTATACACATATGTATTTGTATACCCATTTTAT